GCCGGATACTTCGAGGAGTTGCTCCCCCGCAAGGGCAACGAAGACTACTATGCAAAGACTCCGATGCCGGTGTCGCTCCGAACCCTCGAGCAGAAGCTGCACCGTCGCGAATTCAAGAACATGGCCGAGCTCGAAAGTTGGCTGAGGAGGATGGTCAAGAATGCAAAAGACTACTATTCCCGGCACTCGGAGGTCTTTGAAGATGCCGAGAGGATCAGGAAGGCCGTCAGCAACTACATGACAAAAACGAACCCTGCATACAAGAAGATTGCGTCCTACAGCTGTCAGCCGGCCCCGATTCCGGAGACGCCACTGCCAGTCGACGAAGGAAGCGCCGCCCACGACCAGGGCGAGGAGGATGCGGAAGGCGAAGAGGATGCCGACGCTGAGCCGGAGTCGGTGTCTCCAGAGCCGAAGGCCAAGACCGACAAGAAAGAAGAGGAGGAAGAAGAGGACGACGACGACGACGATGATGGTGATGATGGCGACTCTGATGCTGAAGCTGTGCCAAAGAGGAGGAGCGTTGGCCGGCCATCGTTAAGAGGAAAGACGAAGCCCGACCAGGAGTACGAAGGTGTGCCCTATAAAGGCCTCACGTTCCAGCAAGCCCAGGAGAAGATTGTGGAAGAAATGATCAGGAAACCCGACGACGAGTATGTACCTCCCTGATGAGTCGTGAGTGCAATAGCTGACCTGGTACAGAGAACCCGAGTGGGCCAAGTTCGAGGCGTTCCTCAATCTGCCGCCTCGATCGCTGAAGGAATACTTCAGCATCATCCAGAACCCGTTATCCCTGAAAGGCCTGCAGAAGCTGGTCAAAGGAATCCACGGAAGAGCACCTCCTACGGGTGTAAGCGAGTTTAAGGGCTGGGCGGCATTCGAGGAGAGGGCAAGTTTGCTGTGGGATAATGCTCACTACTTCAACGAGGAAGGAAGTGAGATTTACAACCAAGCGACGGAGATGAAGGTAAGTCTCCGCACCTTGTGGCGGAATTGTGCGGAGACCAGTTGATGCTCACCAACCGCAGGAATTCTTCGAGTCGGAACTCGCCAAGGCCAAAGCCGCCGTGCAGGAACCTCCACAGCCCAAGATCAAGTTGAGAGTGCCGCAGGCTCAAGAAGCCCCGACGCCGATCGGGCCTGGTCCCAAGAAGATTACAATACATGTGGGTGGTTCCCGCGCGCAAACGACTGCTTCGCCAGCACCGCAGGCCTCCACGCCTGGAGCCGCAGCGGCTTCGGACGGCCGTGCTAATGGAGTGCCGCCACAACGTTTTTCTGGTCCCAATGGCGTGTCTGGAGTGCCGATGACCTTGCCGCAGCTCGAACACATGCGCAGCACGTCAGGCGCCGTGGCCTCGCCGAGCCCACCTATCCCGGGTGTCAAGCAGGAGCTCGCCAATGGCCAGTCTCCCGCAGTCACGCCTCGCTTGAGTGGTGCTCCGTCACAACCATCGCCCTTCGCTCCTGTTCCGCATCTGCAGCCGCAGTTCCTGCCACCTGGGGCGCCGGTCCAGAACGGGTATCACCCTCCACCTGTTGAACGGCAGGTTGAAAGGCCATCGCCGATCTACAATAAGTTTAAGAGAGCGCCAGGCAGAGGTAAGCCATCCATTCCATTGGGCCGCCTCGTGGCCAAGCTGACAACGTCAGGTCTGAGTGACGCCCTCATCACAAGTCTGCACATACGAGGCCACCCCAACCTACCATTGGAGAACGGGGTGCGGTTCTCCCTCTCGATCCCAGCCGACCCGGTCTACGCGCAGCAGAATACAACCGTCCACGTACCGAACTACCAGTACAAGCTGCAGGTCATCCCCAAGATTGCACCACTGGAACGCCAAAATCGCGCCTACAGGCTTTTCGTCGTCTGCAACGGCAGCGTTCTCAGCCGGACAGCGCCGCTACCGATTCCGGGCGACACCCTCCTGATCCAGGACCGGGAAATGGCGATGGTCTTTGACGCTAACCTGGGTCTGGGGATGAACGAGATCCAGGTGCACCTTGTTGCTGCGCTGCCGAAGGGACAGAAGCTGCCTGGCGGGGAGGAGTGCGAGGTTGAGATTTTCAGGGTTGTTGCGCAGCTTTTGCGCGCTTGAGGAGAGGTTTGGCATTTCACTGCAGCAACCATTTTACGACTCTGGGCCCGGTAAGGAAGCGCATTCCCTTCTCCTTGAAGGCTCCGTGACCGAGACTTCCGGCCGGGGGGGAGGGGGGGTTACTAATGCCTGGCGGGTTTTATTATGGCAGTTCCACACTGCGCTATCACTTGGGGTGTTGGATGCGTTGTATTTTGCGTGAGGTCTTTTCAGCAATTCGGTTTAGGTGCGTTTATGCTCGACTATCATTTTGGAGGCGTTATGGTAGGACGCTAAGAGGGAGGCCGCACGCAATACTTGCTGGGTTGTATGATCAAAACCGAAGGTAGTAGCCAGTATCGAAACACGGCGCAAAACAGCTTGGGCATGATTGCCTATTTCTTTGATCGTTCCGGTTGCCAAATCCGGACCACCAGCGGCGATGTGCACGGAGTTGCCTTTGAGCGTCGAGCTTCCCAGCTTGCTCAAGTTCTTTGTTGACGCTTCCGGCCTCGTACCATGCTCTGCGATATCCATCCCGTCCTCTTCCCTTTCATCTTCTGAGCTTCCACATAATCGAACCCGGGGCGACGTGACATTGTCAACCACCCCATCGAGTTTTTCCTCGAGTTAAAGCTTCAATTTACCATCTCTACCATCTAGCGGCCACTTTACCAACAACAAGAGTCCCCTTGGAATCACTATCTCTACTGCATCCACACCAACCCGAGCAAAGTCCAAGATGGCGACTCTTGTCAAGGATCTCCTCTCTTCGTACTTCCCCGGTTTCTGCCTGGACGAGACTCCAGTAGACTACGTCCCCATCCCGCCCACAGAGGAGCACACGACGCGGGTGAACCTCCTCGGCATCATGGAACCTCTCCTCCGCCCTTCCGTCCCCCCTCGCACAACCACAGCACCCCGATCGCTCGCCGAGCTGCCGCAGTCCTACCGTCCGCCCCGTTTCCGCCTCGTCTCCTCATCCCTGGGTACCGAACCAAACCGGCCCGACCACTACTTCGAGATGCTCTTCGTGGACATCTTCGCCCGCACGCGCGAATTCGCGAAGACGCACTTCGGCGGCGGGGAGTACATCCCCGCAACCGAAGAGGGGAAGTCACTCTGGCTGGAGGGCGGCGGGTTCACGAAGGAGTTCGTGACGTATGCCTCCCTCGTGGCGAGGCAGGATAACTTCCTGCGCGGGTGGGAGGCGCTGCTGGCTTCTGACAAGGAGAGGCCGGCTATGGTGTGTGGGATTATCGCCAAGGCCCTGGAGGACGGGGCGTGGGATAAGTTGCTCTTTGGGGCGAGTAAGGAGCAGGAGGAGTCGCTGAGCAAGTTCGATGCGGCTACTACCGATCACGAGGGTATGTCTTCCTTTGAAAGGAGAAGGGGCAGTTGGCTAACATCAATTCAGGATTCCAACGCACCGCCGTCCGCACCCGGATGGTGAACACCATTCTCGGCCCCCTGGACCTGCCCGTCAACTTCTGGTCCGAAGTCGACCTCCTGACCACCCGAGTTCTAACCCTCCTCTGTCCCGTCCTCGACCTCCTAGACGCCCATTTCCCCGCTAGCCGCAGCGCACCCCTAGCGCCCATCCATGCCGACCTGCACACCCTGGTCGCCGAAGCTGGTTTCCTAGCCGTCTGTATTCGCCGCAGCTCCTCCATCTTCCGCCTCGTCTTGCCTTTGCCAGGCGACATGCACTCGACTAGCACGCACATCCACGACAAGGACCTTGAGTCGGTGTATCGGATCTCACGCCGTGCAAGGGGCGCCATCATCGCCGGAAAAGCGGACGTCGAGGCGGAGGATATGGCGCGGGAGCGCGGGTGTTCGACGGCTCCGGTGAAGCACACCATGAGTATCTTTAGACACGCGCACACCATGGCCAAGGTAAAGCTTGTGATCTGGCCTGGGCTGGATAGGTATGGCCGGAGAGGCTCCGGGAAGACCGAGGAGATGGAGGTGGCGCATGTGAGGAAGGCGACGGTCGGGTATTACTGTGGTGGGGACGGTTTGGAGGATGATGCGCTGGAGGAGAGGCCGACGTTGAGGGAGTATATCCGGGAGGTTGAGGAGAGTGAGAGGGGGGCGAGACGGTGGTTTCAGGGGGCCAGGTTTTCGGCCAGGGAGATTCTGGGGCTGACTGGTCTGCTGCTGGCTGTCCTTGGATTACTCTTGTTTCATGAGTATATTCTTGAGCTTTTGGGTCGTTTGGATGAGCATCTCTGGGGCCACGGCGATGTACGTCCGGAGGCTCCTCTGGAAGAGGTCCATGTCGTGGAAGAGTCACGTCTGGACGAGCAGATGCAGACTTGGAAGGAGAAGTCGTTCGTCTCGTGGTTCCTTGCTTGGCTTAGGAGGGTCGCCACTCTTGGGACTGGAGGGGCTACTTGATGATATATAGTCGACGGGTTGGACGGATTGACGGATGATGGGGTATATGGAGTAAAGGGTAGCTCGTTTCGACATACACCTGTTGTGGGATACGCATGTTGGCGTGGTACCCAGACCCATGACTGGAGGAACACACGATTAGCCGACGAGGCGACGATTAGCATGTTACCGCACTAACATGCGAAATCCTGCCACAGGTGTGGGTGACGAGACGACGATGGCCATGTTACCGTGCTAGTATACATGATCCTACCACAGGTGTAAGCTCGGAGGATGATTCGGTCTGATTACAACACGTACTTATTTCTTCCAGTTACTTGATGATCTGGCCTAGTTTACCTTTGTCGCCGTCCCCTGTCCAGGGCCAGGGAGGTTGCAACCGGTGTAAGTTCCTTAATGACTAGAGATGCTCACAGGAAGCCAGGTACCCATCAAAAACAGCTCTTATCCAGTAGAGTCCCACATTTTTTAGACGAACCATAATGTGCTCCAAGTGTCCAGCAATCATCAACCAAACATGGGGGTATGGTCTAGGGGTATGATTTCTCTTTCGCAAGTCGGTCCTCGAGCAATTAGGGATCGATCACGTGCATAGAGAAGGTCGTGGGTTCAATTCCCACTGCCTCCACATTTTTGGCCTTTGTTACCCTTTTTATACTCGTCTTTTATCTGTTTTATTCATATTGCTTCCTTTTCATCTTCATGGTCGGTAGTACTGTTTTTCTGAAGGCAGGGAATCTGATCGCTGTGACAGGTGTGACTTCTCTTAATCAGGCTGTTGTTATTAGCTAGCGGGTAGAGATGGGGCTGTCGACGTGGTACCTAGGTACCCTTGTTGCTTAAGCTATGGTAACAAAGAGCCGCGCGGTTTCGATTTCTATCTAACCTATCGATACTACGATAAGACGACGAGAGGACGGAGGAGACGAGAAGACCGAAAGGGCGGAGAGGACGAGAAAACGGAGAGGATAGAAAAGACGAGAGGACGAGAGGACGACTAGCTCGTAGCCGTACTATCTTACTTACTTTCTCTCTACAGGTATTTGCACCTCGTCTCGCGGGGCGTTGAGCTTACCAAGACGGGCTAACAGGGCACGGAATTGCGCAGAAATGGTGAACAACTTGATCGTCAGACATATCATCTATTATGGTCTATAGCCTGCGAAACACGGCACAGATATCTCATGCCGTGGCAACGACAGAAGGATCAGCGTTCTTAACCAGCATCTCAACATACTCCGGGAACCAAGCACCAGCCCTCGGCGCACCCGACATGCCGCAGACGCCGTCGCTCTCACCACCGGGTTTGACCCAGACAACGCTGTCGACATAAGTGTTGTTGTTCGCCGTACCGGGCACGGGGCCGAACCCGGCCTGCACATTGCACCACTCGCCCCACTCCTTGCGGGCGCCGGGCAGCGCGACGCGGCCCTGGTCGACGATAAAGCGCGACGGCAGGCCCTCGGCCTCGAGGAAGGGCGCGAGCGACGAGACGTAGTGCGACTCGTCCCAGGAGTTGCTGTACTGCGTATAGTTCTCGCGGACGGCGGCTTGGAAGGGATTGTAATTCGAGACGTTGGTTACAAAGCCGCGGATCTTGGTGCTGTTTCCTGCCATGCGGACCACTTTGGCGAATTCGGCGGCGGCTAGGGAGCGTTAGTGACCACGTGCGGTCGGGCACTGGGGGCGGTCGCTTACCAAGTGGAAGATTGGCGTCCCAGCCGAGCCAGCCGCCGTGGGCTGCATCGATATACAGGTGCACGTTATCGAACTGCAGGTTGGCGATGGCGTGCGCGATGCCCTCCTCGTACACGGGCGCCGCCTTGGCGCAGTTCTCGTTGCCCTGGTTCGTCACGGCATTGCCGAGAGAGTCTGGTTCGAGAACGATGGCAAAGGTGAGATCCTTGGCAGCGCTGACCTTCTCCGCATACGGCTTGATGAACTCGTCCTTGTACAGCTGGAGCCCGTCCTTGTCGCTGCTCAGTTCTCCCGCACTGTCGCCGGCGCTGCAGTCCCTGTCGGGCAGGTTGTACAGCACCAGGCCGACGATCTGTTCCACGCCCGACTTGGTCTGCTCTGCGCGGGCAGCTTCGATGGCCGAGTCGATGTTCTTCAGGCCGGCGCGGTCCGAGACCCAGACGAATGTGCCTGTCTTCTGGATGGTGCGCACCTTGGCGGCGTTTAGGTCGTCGCCGGCTGTCTTGAAGGTGGTGTAGGTCTGCTCGAGTTTCTCGGCCCAAAGGGGATTCGCAAAGAGCTTCTTGCCTTCGAAGGGGTTTGGAGCTGTGTCGTTCCAACTGCGGAAACGCTTTGGAGCGGCAGACACGGTGCCGGCCGCTGTTAGAGCGACGAACAGAGAACTGGGACGCATCTTGATGACGGTGAGGGTCGCAAGCTCGCTAGGTCTAGCAAGGGTTATCGAGCAGAAGACGTTGTCGGGGAGGGACGATGGGCTGTGCTGAGCATAACCATCGTGCGAATGAGTGCAGTGTGCCATTCTCCCCCCTCTTATACTCCGAGTCTCCTCGCCGCCTCCTTCGACAATTGCTTTCAACTCTGGCCAGTTCCGCTCCGTTCGGGGTTGAAGCCATTGCCACCGCTGCCAAGCCCATAGACGCAGGAACGCGGAACGAGCAATATAGAGCGCCGTTTCCTTAAGACGAGTAGCTTGTCAAAGATCCGCGTGGGATGGCTTGCAGATCTTGGAAGTGATATAACGACCAGTTAAGGCGATGAGAGGCTTTGTGGATCGCAGACCTAGACGACGCGGCAGATAGATGAACCAAGATCTTGGCTCGACAATGCGAGCAACCGCCATGAATCGACGGCTCGTTGAGCCGCATGATATGTCGCCTGATTGGGAACTTACGTGCAACGGGTGGTTGATTTATCCAGAGACGCCAGCGGCTTGGACCTGCGCTTTTTTGGAATGCCACCTCAGTAACCCGGGCTGCGTTCTTTTACATAGTGACCATAGACGCAACCAAAAGACGTCAATGCCTCCATGATTAATATCTCAATGGCGTGCGGCAGGTCGGAGCCGCAACGTGCCGCCTTGCGCCATATCCTGGTTCAGGGCGGGAGTATTGCCACTCCCCAATATCTTTGCATAGAAGTCCACGGACGGGCGCCCTGAAGAAATCATCGTGCAGACCAGCCGCGCTCCAAGAGTCACTCAACTCGGAGCTTCCCAGCGCTGAGACCTTCCCAGACATGCTTCGGAAACGGTGTGCCCTTGCTTCCTCTGGAGCTCATGTCTATCCAAGCAGAGGAGAATATATTCGTTGATTCGACATCATGCCATGCGGAGGGAGAAAAGGGGAGACTAAGACGGACATCTCCCTCGCTACTCCGCTGCTATGCATCATGTGGACTTCGAACAGCGGGTCGTTTTCCATCGAATAGCAGGCAGTGTGCCAGAGTGGTTAATGGGTATGACTAGAAATCATATGGCTTCGGCCGCATAGGTTCAAATCCTGTCACTGTCGTAAAATTGAGAACGATGGAAATGACTCAGGTCGGATCCATCCTCAAGCTTTGGTTCCCTTTTGCATGGCAATCGTTGTTAAACGGTGGAGTTTTTGTGAGCAAAATGCATGTGGAGGTGTTTCTCCGGTTAGCCAATCACAACCGGTCACCACCTACGTCATCGAGCCCTTCTTGCAGCTCTCACGACAACCGCAGTTCCCATGTGCCATGACGAAGTCGATCTACCTTGGTAACGATGACCTTGACTTCCATATCACTCTTTTGCTGTCAGTGGAGCTTTAGACACCCACCTTAGCTTAGCTTCCTCCCCTACATCTCCTTTCTATTTGGCTGAAGTTAAAATTTGTAATTTGTTTACTTGCTGCGAGAGACCTCCTTTCACCGCCAATTCGACCAGGATCAAGATTATAGAGAAGCCTCCGGCTTAAATCATTTGGATACCTTTCAACAACCAGACCAGACATGGCGGACAAATATCTCATGCGGGTGACTGCCGGAACCAGCTATGACCTGAAGAACCAGATCGAAGTGCCCATCAACTCACCAAACACGCTCAAGATTGATGGCGAGCACATGGACATTGAGCTCAACGTCCGCATCCAGAACTACAAGGGCCTACCGCGGGGATCCCCCAACACATCAGCCTACTTCACATCACCTCCGCACGACTACAACAAGGATCAGTACAGCATTGCTTTCCGCTTCACTCCCAAGAACCCCTCTGGCTCAGCCAAGAAGGACGAGGACGAGGATGATGACGACGAAGAAGAAGAGGAAGGCATCTCAGCCGCCGACCTGCAATTCGGGAACGACTTCGACCACCCCATCCGCGACCGCCTACCACCAGGCTTCAACACGGCGCTAAACATCGTGCGGTGGTGGATCGACCCCGGTCTCGACGGCGACGCATACGCCGACTCGCCGTACCTCTATGGCCCGGCACTGAGCAGCTTCAACGCAATCCACGTCGGCCCGGGGGAGCACAACGAAGACCGCGGTGGCCTCTGGTTCGAAGAAGGCGGCGACGAGGCCGGCGCGAAGCAGCGCTCGGAGATCGGCGCCCCCGACGACGCCAGTTCGCGGATGAAGTGGGCTCTGCGGAAGGAGAGCAAGGAGAGCTGGGTGTGGAAGTACGGCCAGACGTACGGGGTGGATTTCTTCAACCCTTACCTGGACTTTTCCGACTTTGCGCTCCGGTTGCCGGGTTTCACGCTGCCGATTATGAAGTACTGGGATGGACAAGGGCTGCGGTAAGTTTCTTGTTGCATTCCTTCCCTTTTCTTGTGCGACTCGCATTTTGCGGGATGTGAAATGTTGGGATCGGACTCTCATGGCTCGTTTGCAGGCGCTCACACACGCTTAGATATGTCTTGAGGAACAAGACCACCGGCCAGGTCTACCTCGTGATATTGTTCGCGCTGTATCTGAAGGAGGATGTTAACGAGGATGGGTCGATCAAGCCCCACGCTTTTGAGGCGGCGAAGAAGGCTTCGGGGCATGTGGCTACTGACGGGGCGGACGAGACGAAGGACAGTGATGAGGAGTCGTTCGACGAGGAGAAGGCTATTGAGGAGGCGAGACGGAAGCTGTCGGGGGTTGCGGTTGACGAGACCAGTGCGGACGATGTAGACTGAGGTGGTTCGGAATGAACATGGCGTTGGGATGCGGATACGAGGCGAACTTGGGCAAAATAGCGGTCGTAATAGAATAAGAGTCTAGAACAAAATCTCCTCTGTCGGTATCAAACATTCCTGTCCTCGGGTCGCTTTGCCGTCAATATCACCAGGTTGTCAAGGGCTCTCGGTACCAGCTACTCGACAATGACCGACTGCATCAATATTTGATTTGACAAGCAGCTTGAATGGCCGAAGTACCCAGACTAGATCTATAACCAGAATAATGCTAAATGCTCCTAGGTAAATATCAACCACATTCCCATACCCCATATGCAATGCAATGACAATATCGCTCCGGATACGTATCCATTATCCAACAACCTTAGACAACTTTTTACCCCTTCATCAACTCACTAGCAAAGGGACTCCTCGCCCTGATCCTCTCTCCAAAGAACACCAGCACCCACGGCACAGCCGTCAGCCCAATAGCGATACTCCCCAACAGCGCGCCCGCCCTTGCCTCGCCCAGGTTCGTAAACAAGAAACCTGTCACAAGCGGGAATACCCCGCCCAGCACATTCCGACAGAACGACTGCGCCGCGAGCGCGGAGGACGCATACTTATGATACGTGTCGGCGAGGTAGTTGAACGTGGCCAGGTAGACGCTGTATATCCCCATCGTCGCCAACGCAATCCCGATAGCTGGTACGACCCAGTGAATCGACGGTTTGGACGTGAAGCCGAAGATGAACAGACCCGCTGGCAAGAGAATGGCGCTGACGCAGGTGCAGTAGAGTCTCGCCTCCGGCGCTGCAACGGGGAACGTCCTCCGCATGAGCGACCAGAAGCGAGAGTCGTCGACGGCGCCGGGCTGCCAGCGGGGGTGGTGGAGGATGTGTTCCTGCCAGATGCCCACCGCCGTGCCCAATATTCCGCCGATGATGAGGGAGCAGAAAACGCGGCCGGCCTCCTCGATGTTCCAGTGGTAGATGCGCGAGTAGACGATGGGGATGGACGAGAAGGTCAGGTAGAGGACGCCCCAGGCGAAGGCCACCCAGAGGGAGAAGAAGAAGACGACGGGCTCGGTGAAGAGGAGGTGGAAGGGGCGGTAGAGGGAGGTGGATATCATGACTGTGAGGGAGGAGCGCTCTTCGTCTTCTTTGACTAGCCAGCGGATGCGTTGGAGTTTGAGGGGCGTGGTGGTTGATGTCCGGCGCGAGGGACCCTTCTCTTCGTCGCCGACTTGGGTTGTATCGTCAGCTAGGGTTTGCTCTGAGGAGCCTGGTGGTGGGGAGGAGGGTTGTTTCTCTTCGATCCAGACGCCGTAGTAGCCTGCTGCTTCGAGCTGTTTATACCATGTGTTTAGGGCTTTTGCCTTGCGGGATAGGAGGACGGATGCTCTGGTTTCCTTGAAGAGGACGACCAGGGCTATCATCAGCACGGCAGCGGCAATGGTCTGATGCCAAAAGACCCATTTGAAAGCTGCCCCAGGTCCGTGGCCCTTTCCTCCGAGTCGGTTCGAGATCGCCGCGCCAACTAATGGTCCGGCACCTGTGCCCGCCAGCACAAAACCGCTGTAGAGGGCCATGGGCGTGTTCCGCTCGGACTGGTCGTACAAATCTGCAATGACGCCTCCGACCATGGTGCTGAACACCGACCCGCCGACACCGACGAAGAATCGCACAGTCAACATGCCGGCAACATTGGTGGCGACGCCACACAGGGCCTGGCAGATGACGAAGAGGACGCCCGACACGACGAACACGGGATATCGGCCGTTGATCTCGGAGAAGGGGGCCAGCACCATGGGCGCTAGCGCGAAGCCGAGACAGAAGGTCGATATGCCGCCTGATACGGCGATGGTGGATTGGGCTTTGAGGTCGGCTGCTAGGAGGTTGATTGCTGGTGAGTAGCAGCCAGCTGAGTAGGCTGTCAGGAAGGTGGCTATGCAGCACAGGGCGAGCATGACGTTCTTCCTATATCTGGGGTAGAGCGTTGGGTGAACGTATGCTGCTATATTCGGGGATGGGGGTGGCGGCTGTGTTTGTGAGGTCTGCTCGATGTTGGCGTTTGGTACGTCGCGGTTGAATGTGAGGTAGACATGGCGGATGTCTGAGTTGGCGTTTAGAGGTTTCCTTAGCGGCGGTGGTGATGGTTCTGAGGGTGGTGGTGGTGATATGTCCTTCTCTTTGAGAATGTCTTCCGACTGTTTCCTCATCGTCCCGCTGTGATGTCGCCCGTCCGAAACACTCATCGTGGGCGTTGCCAGCAGTGTCTTTGGGCCTATACCGAGCCAGTCTTGGCCTATACCAGTCTCAAAGTATCGAAGGTAGTCGTATACGCAACCTAGTCGCCAAGCCTACCTTGGCCTTACACACTGGGGATAGACCTTGCTTATGAGACACAGCGATATCGAAGTCGTCCAACACTGCAGAACCAAGAGATGTAGGTCCAAGAAGAGAAGAGATATCTGCCGAGTTAGCAGACCCGAGTAGCGAGACTAAGTTATTAGTGCCATGGCAGGAAATTTTAGCACATTGGATCTACACCAGACTTATTCCCCGGCAGATATCCGATTGTGACTTATGGTGTACACAGTAAATATGGGGGAATATGTCATCAAGCTGGGCCAGCATGGTCGGATATACGGGCGCAGGAGCTTGTCAGTCTTGTCCAGGATCCAGGAGCCGACGAGGGGTGGTTGGAATGAGATAGTATTACTGTATTAGTAGAACGTATCGAGAATATGGAGACAGAGAATGATAGAAAACGACACCCGGCAGCCCGGAATCCCACACAGATTTTGGCACTCGCCAAGGCATTAGACAACACACACCCCGAAAGATATCGGGTGCAGACACTGCTCCGTACACTTGCAGATCCGGCCCGGTATCTTGGTTTCGAAGAGATGCTTCTTGTCATTGAGGCAGTCTAAATGTCTCCGGGGAAACTCGGTTCAGATGACTCCTTTGACATGTACGGGGCTTGTCATCCTGAGAACTCCCAAGAACATCTGCGGGCGTACTGGTCATAGCCAGCAGAAGGGATTTGACGACGGCTGCCGCTTGCCGTTCGCTGATGATGCTTGGAGGTCCGGAGATGGATGTGGCGGAAATAACTGAAAAAAACACAGCGCCAAGAGATAGAGCCCTTGTAAATATTGGAGACCTGCAGCTGTCGCTTAAAGCCGATTATTACCACAACCAATCACAACACTCTTCTGACGTCCGAGCGGGGAATGGTGGATGCGGACGGGACTTCATCGCGGGAAGAGTGGGAGACATCCGTTCTCCTATTTACCTAATACCCGGCCATCATCGGCTCTGTCAGTCGTCGCTTTACGGAAGGAAACACACGGATCACGGAAGTTCGAAACGGAACTC